TTTGTGTGTTGGGATTGATGGATTATACTATGCGACCTTGTAATTTTCTGGCAATGATTGTAATTTTTGTATGTCACTTTAGATAATTGGAAAGAATTTGAATGGAAAGACTCACAATCAGTCCTTGACGCTACACCCCCCCCCCCAAATTGCCCCATTAAACTCCTCCCGCTTTACGCGACGTGCACACGCATCCTAGTGACCATGAGCAGGACTGTTATCGATGATGAAACCATATACGTCTGTGAAGTGAGGAAGGAACCTGAGGGTGAAAAGAAGGCTAAACAAGTGGCAGAGAACTCACTCACCATAGACCTCAGAGACGTGAAAGACTCCGAAGAAGACTCAGACAAAGAAGAGGGAAAGCCTACTCCCCAGACAACACATAAGAAACAGAAGCCTCCCCTACCTTTGAAAGATAGAGTATCTATTCAATACCAGTTCAGGAGCCCTGGCCAGTTCTGGTGAAGAGTGAAATGAAGATTGAAGAATGGAGGACACTCATGGAGGAGAGCAAACTCACCGACGACATCCCTTATATCATAGATGGATTCAAGAATGGGTTCTGCCTGGGCATCCCACAACCTGAGATCCCAGGCCTTGAGTAGTACACACCGGACAATCACAGCTCCGCACTGACAGTCAAAGACCAAATAGAAAATACATTAGCAAAAGAACTGGCACCAGGAAGGATAGCGAGCCCGTACACACACAAAGAACTCAGAGCAAGATTTGGCTTTTTCCGATCCAACCTAATGGGGAGCTTGGAAAATAATGATGGCTCAATACGGATGATAAGTGACCTGTCTTGGCCAATAGGAGACCCCAAGATCCCCTCAGTCAATTCCTTCGTAGACAAGAATAACTACACGACAAGCTGGGACGATTTTGAGGTTGTGCCGAGATTCTTCAAAGAAAACCAAGGCACTTGGGAGATGTGCACTGTAGACTGGGAGAAAGCATACCGCCAGCTGTGGGGACATCCAAGTCAAAGACAATTCTGAATAATAAAAGACTTCAAAGGACACTTATGGGTAGACTTAGCTGTGGGATTTGGAGGGGTGGCAAGCTGTGGTGTCTTTGGCGCACCAGCAGATATATGGAGGGAGATAGTTATATGCCAATTTGAAATCAAAAAGATTTGCCAATGGGTCAACGTCAATCTCATATTCAGGAGAGAATGGCAGACGATATTGCTCAAGGACATCAGGGACTTGAGCGACTCTCTAGGAGTCAGAACAAACCCAAAGAAAAACCAAGACTTTGGTCCTGAACAGCAATACTTGGGCTTTATATGGAACGGGACGGAGCGCACCGTCAGAAACAACACCGTCAGCAAATTGAGCAAATCCTTGACTCCGACTCCAGCTGGACCCACTCACAAATTTGCAGCTTCATTGGAAGGTTGGTGCACACCACCAATATTGTGCCACACACACTGTGAAAATAATGTGTTTCTCCCTAGCGAAAAATGATTGCATTTTTGGAAAAATGATTGACAAAAAATTGTACCTGGAATTGTGGGCCCAGTTGTGGCCCAAAACGCTTGGAAAAAGATCTGGAGAGAGATACAACGCTCTTTGTCCTGCAACGTTTTTTCGGGGTTGCTTAAAGCCTCATACTCAGCATGAACCCAGCAAGCAATTTTTGATGTTTTTACCAGCTTTCACCTCGTGTACACTAAAACTTTGGCCCCGACCCGAAGAAAACGCACTGTGTATTGTCCGCACGGCTCCGTCATTTTGCAGCAGATGCCACTCAGATGTACCCCATGCATCTGGAGTAACCTCCCCACCACGTACAAGTCACTCCACACCACAAAGACACTAGTTCAAGTGCCTTCATAATTAATCTGGAGCATCATAATGCACCCCAACAACCATCTCAATACTCACCAGGCAAAATCTTACAAGGTTCCTTACCTTTCATCATGTTGTCCACGCAAGTACCAGCTGCTACACAAAACTACAAGCACAAGCTCACAAGCTCACAACTCACACTCACACAGCACACACTCACAATTACAAGTTCCCAATTGCCCCGCACCAAACTTCACAATGACTACATGTAAAGTTTAAACCCTCTGAACCCCATACCTACTACTACACACGTACATACACCTCAACCTTATACTACACATCCGTATTATGACCAAACAGACTTCAAGTCATCAGCTCACAAACTCACACAGTCAATCGCTGGCCTCAACATCCAAGAAGACCCCCTCACACTCATTCCCTCTCAGCATGACTCAAACCGACCATCCCCAAGGCCAAGCCACCGGTCAAACTCATACCCACAACCCTACACCTCCTGCTTCTGCAATCGATTTGACGTCTGATGTCAGAAATCAGTTCAAGGATTGTTATCAAATCACCTCTCATATTGATCAACTGACCCTACCCAATGGCTACCAAATATCAATATTTGACTCACACCCTACCTTCATTGACTATAAGTGTTACAAAGGGCGATACAAAAACAAACAAAACCCTGGCACTTGTCCCTTCTACGCAAAAGCCATACAAACGTTACTAGACTCAGGTGACGAACAATGGACACTTCAAATTACCAATTCTGAGCATGATCATCCTCCTAGTTCCAAACGACTTACACCTCCGTTGAACACCAGTTTACCTCCTCCCCCCCCTGGAGTGTTTGCGAATGGCCAAGATCTCATGGCTTCCCTCGACAAATTCACTCTTCCACATGGCTATAATCTATCGACTCTTGATTCCCGCCCAACTTACATCAATATCAAATCTTGCAAAGGACATACTCGCCATAAAACATCACCCGGTACTTGTCCCTTCTATGCTCAAGCCACTCGATCCTCTGAAAGCAGTCCACGTACATTCACTGTGTATGAACCTCGTCATGATCACCTTTCTATTCATCAGCGACCTTCTGTCCACCGGCGAGCAGAACCAAAATCCCAAGCCATTGTCACCGATTCTCCTCCTCCATCGACAGCCGCAGAAAATATCCCACGTCTACTGTACCAGCCTCAAAAGCCAGAACCGTCCATTGCACCATCTGTCAAGATCGCACCGCCTGTCAAGTCACATTCAGTCACCTCACAACCACCAAACCAGTCTCAAAAATTAGAACTGTTCATCGCACGCTTGAACAAGCTGGACAGTGCCACACGGGACTCTCTCCTCAACGCATTTCAAGAGGACTTGAACCTTGCTCAAATGAGTATGGTGACAATTGAACATTTGAAGCGGTCTAAACATACACTTGATGACATTGAGGACGACCTTCCTGACATGCAACACCGCAAGTCAAGCAAAACAGGCCCCCAGAAGATTTCACATAGCAATCAAGCCGCTATACCAACTCAAGAGCCAACCCCTCAAGTCACCACAAACGTCGATCATCCAATAGGTCTCTTATCATCCAATTTGTCTGATCAGGTAAGATCATCTTTTAAAAGCGTCCAAGTCCAATACATACATACGGATTGACTGGATTTCAAACCCCAAAACAGGAGCCTTCTCTGTTGAACGAGCCCCAGCCCAATGATCCACCAACACCAGATCACACCTCAAGACCACCGAAGGAAAACCCCGGTTCAACCTCAACGTTATCGTCATTGGAAAGCGAAACCATCCCAACACTCCTTCAATACGAGCTTACCAAGACACCCCTTCTTTCCACACCACCTTCGATTAACCTTGAATTAGAAAACAACAACATTACTGAAGCAAATCATCACGGTGATGAGAAATTCAATTGCAAGACAATCAATCATCACGTACACGCTGAGACCTCCAATCAAAGTGGAAACATGACTTTAGAATTAGCACCTCAAACACAAAATGAAGAACTTACTGAACCAAATAATTCCCCTAAAGAGGTATCAGCTCATGAAGCATTGGCTGAGACTCCCAATCAGGCCAATCAAAACACTTTAGAGTTAGAATTAGAACATCCAGCACAAAATTCAAGCGTTACAGAGGCCACCCTTCAACATTCTGCGGCTTCACAAAACGATCGAAGTGACCAGAATCAAAGCAATACCCCATCTCCAGCTTGCTCATCAGCTCGGCTTAAGGGAAACGCTAAGCCTTCAACCACCAAACCAGCAGCTCCTGTTAAAGGCAAGATTCACACTGAGGCTACAGCTCCCGATGATATACCCACTGCGGCTCCTCTCAAAGGAAAGCGTAAAGGGGTGGCTACCACTGACAACACCGACGCGACAATGGATACAACTCATCCAGATGCTACCTCGACAGGCAAGCCTAAGAGTATGTCATGGTCTCCTTCTGAACACTTTAAACCTCAAAATAACCCACCTCCCATTGTAAGCTATCTGTCAATCACCCACTGATGATACTACCTAATATTTAATCACCACCATCTTATTTTATTTTCAGTCTCAATCCGTCTCCGCCTTAGAAAATGATCCAAATGAAATCTCCGATGCGTCTCTACAGGTGAGATGAACTTTATACATTCAAAATTCCACCGACACTGACTGTTTCATTCGTTGAATAGATGACTATCCCCTGTCTGAACGAACTACCCTCTTAGCTACACCCCTTTGTCACTAAAGTCACTGATGTAGAGGGCGATGGTCTATGTGCATTCCGTTCCATCGCAGTCTCCCTTGGGCGTCCTGAACCCGACGCAACGATTATCCAGAAGGAGATGGAAGCTGAGCTTTTATCTAAATTCGACTGGTACGAAAACACCTTCCAACCCTTTGCGTCAATTACGACATCAAACGCTTCCTTCAAATACTCCAAAATCCGAAAGACACAGCAACACGCCACCTATATTACCCAATGCCCAGAGGAATATCACTCATTGCCAATACATACCACCAGCCGGTGATCTATTACACTCACCCAGAAATTGCAACCCTGTCGACGTACCCCTTTTTTACACCTCCACCCCCTAAAATTCAACCAATCGTAATTGGCTTCGTCCGGGGTGACCATTTTGTATCCCTAGATTTGAAAATATGTCCGCCTCTTCCAATTCCACTACTGAATGACCAATGGCCCATCTTCCACACTACAGCTGCAGAAGGATGGTCGGGATTGTATGAATCGAATCACTCAATATTTGCAACGCTGGCCAAGGAGCTCAGAGCAATAAGATACCAAAGGCTTGATGAACTGAATGGAGATACTACAAGACATGAGGTTGACCTGGTTAGCAATGGATCTGATGGACCTGATGGATCTGATGGATCTGATGGATCTGAACTATCACAACTATCACAACTATCACAAATGAAGGATGTCAAAAATTGTACTTGAGTATAAATGTTGTATGTAGCCACCAGATTAAAATGAACTTGCAAACTCAACTTGATAAATTACATGCATTGTCCCTTGACACGGTGTGATGTGGACAGCTAGATAGCTGTACAAAAACCCCGCGAAAATTGTACTTCACGGATAATCTTTCAAGTCTTTTACAATGTGAACTGGTGAGCCTGTGAATTTGTGACTTTGTGAACCTCACCTGTTCACAGTGTAAAAACTAGACAAGTCATTCACAATGTGAACTAGTGGCTTTTTGTGAAGGTGTGAACCTCACCTCCAGTTTTTTTGGCATATTGTTGAAAATGTAAAGCTGTGAACTGGTGACCTTGTGCACTTGTGAACCCTCCAAAATCCCGCGGGGCGTTCACAGGTGAGCGCAGTTGTGAATTTGTGCATTTGTGAGCTTAGTGAACTTGTGAAGTAGTAGATCTGATGTTGTGAACTTTTGAATTTGTGCACATTGTCACAAAAGCTCAACAGCTCTCAATGTTGGTTCATTGTGAAGTTGTGAAGCTGTGAACCTCATAACTTCACACACAACTTCACAAAAGCCTAGCTGGGTGTGAGCAATTTGACAAGTCAAGTCATTGACAATGTGAAGTTGACTTGTGAGCTTTGTGAGTGTTGTGAACTTGTGAAGTTGTGACAAGCTGAAGATGGGAACCGCACATTTTTACAAAAGCTCAGCAGCTCCGCCATGTGACTTGTGAAGTCGTGAACTCACAACTGGTTTGTGAAGTTGTGAACTCACAACTTCACAAAGAGCTGGGTGTGGCAGCAACGTGCGGTTTGTGAGCTTGTGAAGCTGTGAACGTGTGTTGTGAATTTGTGAAGATGTGACACGCACCAATTTCACACAGCTCGCAATGTTGTTTGTGAAGTTGTGAAGCTGGGACGTTGTGAAGTTGTGAGCCTCACAACTTCACAAACGCCTGTCTGGGTGTGAAAACTTTGACAAGTCACCTCATTGACGATGTGAAGTTGACTTGTGAGCTTTGTGAACTTGTGAAGTTGTCATGATGTGAACCACACAGCTTCACAACAACCAACCAACTAAACTCACAATGTTGATTGTGAAGTCGTGAAGTTGTGACGTTGTGAACCTGTGAACCTCACAACTTCACAACTTACTAGCTGAGTGTACAAACTTTCACAAGACATTGTCTATGTGAAGTGGTAGGCTTAGGAGCTTGGTGAACTTGTGTAGTTGTGAATGTGTACTTGTGAAGCTGTCTGTGAAGTTGACGACTTGCCTCACAAATTCATGACCGTTATGGAAAGGAAAGGAAAATCATATGTACAAATGGATATTATAGACATTTACTAGAGCGAGGAATACATCTAAGGTGTAATATGGTCTAAAAGTGAAATCCTTCAAACAAAAGTATATAGTAGCTGCGAACGAATGTGTCTCCACAAAAATACTTATCCTAAAAGTCCTCGCGCCATATTCCTAACTTCAGAGCCAGTGCCTTCATTTTCTTGTGGGCTTGTTCTTTGTACCCCGTCAACACTGATGATTGATAATGTACCCACTCTTGCTCACTCTTCTGGGACCGCATTGCCTTCATGTTCTCAATTCGTTTCACCAACGCCTGTGAGACTTGACAAGAACATGCAAACCAAGTGATTTCGGCGTTCTCAGGGCATACTTGCACACCATTGGCATTGTAAGTCTTTGATGCCGTAGCCCGATGATGGACTTGAGAGTTCCATAGCATCTCGATGACTCCATCGCAAGCATCCAAGTTGACTTCAAGATTGTAGTTGTCAAGGACAAAGCAGGCACCAATGGTATTACCTCAAGGGGCAGATGATCCTCGCTCGTAAAGATGTCCGGTTTCTCAGTCGATCAAAGAGAAAAGTCCAAAAGCGTATTTGGTTTCGTCACAATCTTTATGTCTCTTGTTGACAAATTCATCAAATGTGACTACAATGTTGGAACCAAATACTTTGGCATTGGGGGACACGTAGAAGGATTCGTTGGCCCAGGATGGTGCATGTGTTTGGGCGGCGATGGCAGCATTGGACTCGAATGCGGATAATGAAAGGCCACTGAATCTCTCAGCGAAGAATGATTCAATCTGAGGGAGATTGTCTTGTCTTTTCAAGTCGGCCTCCATCTTTCGGAAGTCGGCGGCAGTGGTTGCGTTCCAGGTGTAATGACCTATAGTTCAATATTAGCAATCGGGATTGATGGTACGGTATGGCTATTTGAGAAGAGCAAGCGGTGATTGATCTTACCTCCCTTTACCTTTGCATCATATCCAGGACAAAACCCAGCAGCGTGCATACGTCCAAACTTTCTTCCTGGTCTCCTTCCGCGGTACGTAGCTGCATTCGTCTTGATTTCACCTCGAGCTCTGGCATGCCAATAGACTGTACTGATTGAATGGTCATATGATTCAAAAAGGCCAGGAGTGCCATCGGCCTTTTCAACAAATCGCACGACCAGTAGGAGTTCGAAAGTATCCTGATCCAGGCATACAACAGTGCCATACGATAGACTGAGGCGTGGTTTGCTGAAGCGTCGTCCCTTCTTGAAAAAAAGAAATTTCGCATCCGAGGGGAGACCATACTTCTCGGTTAGCTCAGCTTTCTTGGCAGCTTGGGCGTTTGGTGGGTATTTTGGTCTTTCTTCATGCTTTTGAATTGGACGATTGAGACGCGATTCGCGTGTACTTCTAGGCTTGTACTTGGGCATGGCCACTGCTAAGAAAATGGTTGAAAGAAAAGATGAGATGAAGGAACTTCGAACGAGCAAACAAATACAACAGACTAAACAAATTGTACCCTCAGACAATCAATTACAAATCGAAGCACCTTTATCAAACTCCCTTCTAGCTTCTGAATTTACGTCGCGATGATCTAGGTCCGAAGCATGCAAGGAAGTTTTTGGGATGTCCAAGATGTAATGTATCTTGTAATAAGGTAAGGATCTCGTCAGAATAAAGTGATTCTGATGTAAAAACTGGGAAAAGTAGGAGTTGGAATTGATCGATTTCAGGTAGCAGCGGATAGTTATTCAGTTGTCGTGTCGATATGCGTTCCAAAAGGTAGCTCAGGCCAAGCTTGATTCATACACTTTGCCCCCCTGAAACCATGTGAATCATGTCAATGATTCTCGAGCTGTCGTTTATTCTAGGTACAAACGAGGGTCGCACGCTCACTCAGCCCTTTCCCTTTTGAATCAATAGCAATTGTGTGATCCATTGGGCGAACTCAGATGAAATGCGATGATGAAATGAGACATATCTCACTGATTCACTAGAAAAATTGGTCAATCAACAAATATTAGACAAATCTGACCGATTAGTCCATGGGTGGGATATCTGTGTGTTTCATCCAAAAAGACTGTACTATCAGCTTACCAAAAGCGGTATTCAATTTATAAAGGAAAAAAGGGGTCATATCGCTGATGAAACTCAGCTGTACATCAAAAATGAATGTGAGACGTGGGCATGGATTATTGGTGTGAAATTGAGGTGCTGTCATGATTATGGTGGCTTGGAAGTTGGGAGGCGCCAAGCGTAGATGGGACTGGCTTATGTCATAATGCAAATGTCATAATGCAGCAACTATGATTAGATCTAGTGATCTGTAAACTTGTGATTCACACTATAGTCCATAAAAGTCGTGGTGATAAAATACCTTTTCAGGGGTGAAGTGCACACCGGACAAAAAATATACACACAAACATACTTGATGTTGTACACCCAAAGGACATCTGTAGCAAGAGATGTGGTCAAATTCCTACCATTTCGGGGGTGATGGGCGCATTGTTATGACCAATAAAATACATGTACACCTTTCATGATGATGTACATCAAGGTAGGAGCAAAGTAAGTGCATGTTCCCATATGTTATGCAGCTCTAGGAATCTTTTGCAACACTCAGAATCCCCAAAGGACAACTGTAGCAAAAGATGGGGTCAAAAAACTACCTTTTCAGGGGTGAAGTGCGCATATGACAAAACATGCACATACACATCCTTGACATTGTACAACATTTGGGTACATAAGAAGTGGATTGTCCCCAGTGGTATGCAGCTCTAGGAATCTTTTGCAACACTCAAAATCCCCAAAGGACAACTGTAGCAAAAGTTGTGGTTATAAAACTACCTTTTCAGGGGTGATGTGCGCATATGACAAAACATGCACATAAACATCCTTGATATTGTACAACATTTGGGTACATAAGAAGTGGAATGACCCAAATGTTATTGATAAATAAAATACATGTACACCTTTCGTGATGTTGTATATCAAGATAGGAACAAAGGAAGTTGATTAAAGTGATACCAAATAACATGAAACCACTTCCAAAATTTGTTTGTTTGTTACCCATTGCCCCCATTTTCATGGGGGGCAATTTACACTTAATTTACACTTTATAGGTATGTGAGACTGTATTGCTATCTATCAACAACATCTTTTTGAGGTTTGAATTCATCTTCACTTGGGCGCTTGGGGAACGCCTCATAATAAATCCCCAGAGGGGTTAACCATTGGATGTGGATGGGTAAGCACATACTTACAACACGCACGCACTACACCAAATTGAGTTGACAGGTATCTGGAATTCATATATGGAAATTCCTTCGATAGTACAGGCAGGTTTCCTGCATCAGTCCATGAATATCGATCTCGTTTGTATAGTCACCTGTCAATGTCAAGGGTGCTTTGACATATTTTGCAGGGGCCTCTTCATCATCTAGGATATTACGGTAGCGGTTCCGTCCTTGACTGACTGGGTGGCAAACTGAGCACCAAAAGGGGAGTAACCAAACGTCACATTGAACAAACTAAGGGTTGGTTAAAATTGGCAATTAACATAAGTGGATAGTATTGATTCTATACAACCCTTTGGGGTTTTAAGCCTATTTCAACCAATCAGGCCTTTGCGTTTGAAAACTTGGTTTTTGAACTAAGGCTCAGCGCGAAGCAACATATTCCCTATTCCCCACTTGACCATGGCCAGCAAGAAGAAGAATCGACCTCGCACAATTGAACGATTGGATCACAAACCTCAAAACCCACTAGATGCTCGAGTTTTAGCAATGAAACAGCGAGCTCGGCAACAGGCACTAAAAAATAATGGGGGAGTTCTTGTTGCCCCTGTCCCATTGGGTTCAGGTCCAATCGTGGTAAATGATACCACATGTTTAATCTTAATTTTTTTCTTGTTATTCTTTTTATATACACGGTTCAATGAAAAAAACAAGTCTTGTTATTCTTTTAATTTTTCTTTGTCTCTTTATATGAGTTGTGCTCATTTTATTTCTTATACACGGGCAATGTCAGTTTTCACGTTGTGACTCTCCATATGCGCTATATTGCGCGCAATATAGCGGTAAATTGCGCACCCACCGCTCCGTATTTCTGAGCCAATTTTTTTTTTGCGAAATTGCGATTATTTGCGTAGTGCTACATAGCGCAGTCCGCGCTGCGCAACGCAGAGGAGGGCAAAACCCGTGGCGTTGCGTAGCGGTTGCGGTATTGCCTCAAACACCTGCTGATCAACAGGATAATAACAACGACTCTGATGAATCTTCGCACCAAGGCTTGGAAATGAATGATGATCTCCTCCATCCGCCTATAGATCCAACCATGGATCCACCAGTTCCTGTCCTGGATGACGATGTGGCACAAGACCTGAAGAGGGGCTTTTACTCCGGTCGCCAAGCACATGAAGAAATCCATTGGCGCACTCGATACCCTGCGATGTTCCAGGCTTTTCTTCAACAGAAGCAATTGACACATGATTGGTCTCACACACAAACATTTGATCATGACTTCAAAAATCATTGTAATTGTCAAGGCTCTCCACGCACTGTGGATGTATTGGATCTATGTTGTGAGTATTCAATTCTGGTACGGTGGACTCAGAGATGAGAGCTGATATCCATGATGGTCAAAGATCGGAAACAGGTGAAACTGCTATTCTGCAAATGTTATGCAAATGATTGGGTACGACTAATCTATGCGGGCTATATAGGTGGTACACCTGATCAGCCAGTGTCTGCTATCAGCATTCGACTCCTGCGGTTTTTTCATATACTTTGGAAGTACTGCTGCATTGGTTACCAGCCGTTTGCACCGGCTCTGACAGAGTTTCTTGACCCTGGAAATCCCATATTCCTTGCGAAGGGCGGCGAGAAAGTAATTATGTTATTATTTGATATTAGCAAGCTTCATACAACATCAGGCTGATTTCATATGAAATCATGCCCCCTCATTTTGCAAGGCTCGCGAATGGAATCGATCACTAACGTCGTGTGTGGATGCATATCGCCAAATGTTAATCATGATGGATGAAGCGACCTCCAAGGCCCTTCGTGAAACTGAATACGACAAGCTCGCGATCAAATGCCCCCAATGTTTTGGGCCTGGTTTAGAACCATTACCCGATGGAGAACCAGGTCACTGTGTGTGTATTGATGGCAATTTTCAACACCGACGGCACTTGGCTGCAAGTATTGAACTCGGTGGTATAATCACCCCGTCCATGTTCATACCACCTGAGGAAGTGGAGGTGATGCATGATACTTTGCCCACACCTCGTGCACAAGGCAAAAAGAAACACTGGGCTGAAACAGAAGTGGTCAGTATTTCTACCCTTTAATTTTTGAAATTGCCTGACCTTATACATTAAAACCACTTCCTCAGGATCCATGCTCAGCCCGACATACTGCTGCTGATGACATCCGAGGGAAAAATCATTGGAAAGGCAACGATGAAACCGGACTTGAGGTATGAGCATGCAGACATGATCAGTGTCTGAAGTTCATCAGCATTATACAAAGTGGGGAAAAGTGAGTTGTTATCTAATCTCATTTTTGTATTATGTCGGGTATTTATGAATATAATATCAGAAACATATACCCACTTGCACTCATCAATTGGCTGCTGCGAGCAACTGAAGCCAGACCAGGCAAGCCAGATGGCAGGCTTGGCGTACTTTATGACATAGGGTGCAATATCCTGAAGGGGATTATAAAGGTAATATCGAAATCAGCTTGCCCATGTCATTTTTCCACACTGAACCATTCATTTAATTATTGTGTTTATGATTATAGCGCAATCAATTCCCTATTGAACAACAATTCAATTGACTCAAATTTGCAACCAGCTTGTTCCATTCATTCGTGCATGAATGGACTTGTCAGCTGGACTACAATCCACGTCTGAATCAAGGGTGGGGACTTACTGACGGGGAAGGTAGTGAGCGTATATGGGCTAAGTTTGAACCCTTGGTGCGCAGGCTAAGGTATTCTACCAAGCAACATCGCCTAAATGCCATCAATTTTGCGGCACTTCACAAGAACGATCTAGGCAGGATGAATGCAGGTGTGTGGTCTTGGTCATCAATATTGGCTTTTTAGCTGACTTTCAATTTCCAGTCCACGGGTCATTGCGGCACCTTCAAAAAACAATACAGAAGTTGAATCTGGCAAAGGAAAAGTTGGCAAGTTTGCAACGCGCTCATGGGTTGGACATGGCATATTTCGAGCAACAGTGGCGCCGTAAAAAGGAACTACAGAGTCAGGCATTGAGCCAAACAAGTGCGGATTACCTTGAGAAGGTGGGAGAATTGGTCGAGCTCAAAGAAAAGCTTGTTGCAGCGCAGTATGTTATCATTATTTTCTTATCGATTATTATTGGTTTAACAATGGATAACTAAGTTGAATTTTTTTTGGATCAGAGCCAGACTAACAGCATTAAGCAGGAAGAAGAAGTCAAAGCAAAAAGGTCGTAAAAAACAGGCTTTGCTTGCATTGCTGAACACCATGGTTCAACTGGAAGAAGCCATGGAGCATGTCACTGGAACTTTAGGAGCCGTGGAATTCAAAGAGCTCACCAGAGTGGATGGTATGAAATGAATGTTGAAAGCCAGATATTTAAGACACTGACTTTTTTTGCTCAGTCTAGATGATCGAGCAAAACCTTTGATCAAAATCCAGGTAGCCAAAGGTCGGCTCTGTAATGCCAAAAGTGGAGTCATTGAATATTGAAGGCGTGCAGGGACAGCCAAGTACTTTCGACTACAGAGCCAAAAGTACACTAATGCTTTCCACTTCATCATCTGAAAAGGCACAAATGTTCAGGCCAAAATGAATCGGCTGAGGATATTGAAATCGGCCGAACTACGAAGAAAGCACACCACTTATAATCGGCTTGCGAATAACTACAATTTAAAATATGACCCAAACGTTCCTCTTCCAACGCCAACCCTGAAAGAAGTAGAGGCTATGGAGATTACCGATACATTCTTTGATTGTGGTGACCTCACACATCCTGGTGAACCTTGGGCAGTAGACCCTTGAATTCAGGATGGAATCGAAGGACATCTAGACGTCCAGCGATGTGATGAGGAGCTCCGCCGAATAGCAAAGGAGGCCCGGCAGATGATGAACTGGGGTCTCGCCTACCAGGATAAAATTGAGTTCCTCAGGGATGAGATCAATCAAGGTATGAAGGCTTTTTTAACCCACAATCTCAGATGAGCTGACAACATCTGCATTATAGGTGTTGTCCCCATATGGGCTGTTTCGAAAGAGAGCATGCAGGCTTTGCATGCGACACTCATGCAGCGCTCCTGCCGCCTATGGGTCAGGTGGCGAGTGAAGATATGTACTTTGATTAACTTGACAACACCCCCGCTGGGATGTAGCACGGAGGATGATGAGGTTAAGTGTACTTTATGGCGACGCATGGTTCAACATAGTCTTGCTGAATGGGAGCGTATGAGTCAAGGTGTTATTATTGTAGGAGAGGGAGGAGACGATGAAGATGATGCTCCAGACAAGGATAACGTTGACCCACAACATGCTGACAAAGATGACACCGAGGAAGACTATGATGATATCGCAAGCGAGGAGGTAGGAGAGGCTGAAGATTGAGAGGTTGTGACCTTTGTGATGGTAGTTTGGTGAACCAGTGATAGTGTGAGTTGTGTGCGCTTTGTAAGCTTTGGCCTTGTGAGGCTTGTGAGCTTTGTGAATGTGAACTTCGAAGTTTGAATATGATTGAAAATCCATGTCCAATGTACAGTTGTGAATGTGAATGTGTGAACCTTGTGAAGCGTTAACAATTTGGTGTGAAGTTGTGAGCGTTTAAGTCAATTGGAATTGACTTACATTTTTACAGTATGAAGTTGTGAGAGGTTGTGAGCTCAGTGAACCTTGGCCTTGAAAATTTGATAGGTGCAGTTGCTTTCTCATGTTTGTGCGCATTGTGAACTTTGTGAACCCTGTGAACGTTGTGAACTTTGTGAACTTTGTGGAATCTTCCATTCTCAAATGAAACTTTCCTATTTTTTTTTCAGTACAATATCCTCCCCTTGCTTAGTTTTATACTAAGTGAGGGGAGGATTAGATATGGGCGGTAGGTTCCAGAGAAGGATCATCCTTATCTGGAACCTGAACGTGTTAGCAACGTGTACTGATTACTTCCGGGGAGAGTTCATCCTTAAGGTTGACTCTCTCCCGATAGCACTTTTTGAGGAGTGAACCTAGAGGGGTTCTCCTCAAAATTTATACACCTTGTCAGGGTGGGTGGGAGGACGAAAAAATTATATAAAGTATTCAGTTGAGAGTTTCTTTGCTCTTGACTGGATGGTAAGGGAAAGAATAATGTAAAGATGATTGATAAGATAGAGAATCAATTTGTGAACAAGGGACAAACCAATAGGAAGGATCTAAGTATATATGTAGCTTGATTCTACTGAGTCTGTCTCGATCTGGCGACGGAAGGGCCGTATAGAGTTCTCGACTCTTTGGGTATAATGATACCCATAATAATCCTCCATTGGTAGGTCCGCTCGTACTTAATTGTCTATTTGCAGTTATTCTTCTTCTTAAGAGCGCGCTTCCCTTTCCATGGACCAGTCTCACAATGCGTGCCTGTTGTAAGAGGCAATCCATTCTCAAATGAAACTTTCCTATTTTTTTTCAGTACAATATCCTCCCCTTGCTTAGTTTTATACTAAGTGAGGGGAGGATTAGATATGGGCGGTAGGTTCCGGAGAAGGATCATCCTTATCTGGAACCTGAACGTGTTAGCAACGTGTACTGATTACTTCGGGGAGAGTTCATCCTTAAGGTTGAACTCTCTCCCGATATCACTTTTTGAGGAGTGAACCTAGAGGGGTTCTCCTCAAAATTTATACACGCTTAACAGTCCGTTCTATTTGTTGGAAAAGAAGGAGGAGCCTGAGTCCCCCTATTCTCAGGTGACAGGCCTGAGCCTGGTCTGGCTCCTCCCGATCCTGTCGCCTACATATCTCTTGCTTAGCTTGTGAGGCTCGCCGGTCTTATTATTGTTAGTGGGACGGCAAACGTGAGAAAAATTAATTCCATCGGAGGTTAGGACATAAACGAACGGCAGGAGGATGGTCATTTGTTGATGGAAAGCACAGAAAAAAGGAAAAAAGGACGGTCGGGTAAAAAGAAGTAGGGATTATGCAGGATAATACAAGGAATGGGCCAGTCAAAGAGCAAGAACGGTGAGATTAAATGTAAGTGGGGATCGTGTCTTCGGTTACCCGTAGGATACGTTTTGCTGCTTCCCACTCTTGATCATTCCACTCACGCTGGTACAAAGCGTGACACGCCGACTTCCAACGTCCCAAACGCTTGATCTCGTCTAGATGAATACCGGCCTTTGTCAATAACGTAGCTCCGCCAATCCGAAACGAGTGGCCAGTCATGTTGGAGTTGGTTCCCCAGGCTCTTCTCATCACAGTCGTCATGAGGTCTTTGGTGATCGCTGTTGTCCCATTAGATCCCCAGGTCATGAACAGCCTGGGGTCCTTCACTCTTTCTAGACAGGATAATAGTGCTTCTAAAGCGCTCACTGGGCATAGAACTCCACCGGTAGCTCGTAGGGTTAGGATTTGCGTCTCGCCGGGGGCTGCCGTTTTGGTTTCCCTAAGCTTGACCTCTGCGAGTCGTTTGTTTCCCTCTGTCCGAAAGGAGACGTCGGACTTAAGTACCGCGCGGTGATCGTGTCTATCGTAGAGAGTAGATTTGTACGTAAGTTCTCCAAGACGGGCTAAACCCCAATAGGCCACCAGCACCAATGCTATCAAGCCATTGGGGTCTATTTCCTTCTCTGTGATATCGGCGATTAAGGCCAGGAGTGCCTTGGGAGTGACTGGGAGGCGATTAAACTTCTGGGTCGGGGCTCTGGCTTCTAGCGTCTTCGACGCCCTGAGTAAGGTCTTCAGCCGTGTTAGGTGTATGTTAGGGAAGTTGTATCCGTGAAAGGCGTGCCACGTGCGTAGAGCTGTTAGGTACTTCGTAATCGTCGTGACCTTGACTGGTTTGTTGGTTGCTGATTGGTTAACATTGTGTCCAGCCCACACGATGAATCGTTCTACCGTGTCGCAAGAGGCCGGGAACGCTCTTCGCTTCTTCAAAGAAGCGAACATCTTGTATTTCTTGACTCCGGAGGCATAAGCTTCTATCGTGGATCGGCACCAGCCCGCCCGAATCATGTGTCTTTGGGCGCGCGTCAAGGGTTTCTCTTGCTCATCGTTGATTCTTAGGAATGACTTGATGCTCTTCATAACTGATATCGTACGGTATCTGTTTCTACATACAAACGAGGGTTAGGGACGGTGTTAATGTCTTTGAAAAACAATTGCGTTTATCAGGTGCTGCGTTTTATTGGCTTACCTAACTTAGAAAAAGGGGGGGTGAGGCTCTAATGAGGGATTGGAGAGGCCGATGGTATCAAAAAGGCTTTCAGAACAATTCGAGAGTGTATTTAATATGTGATAAAATGGGGAAAGGCGTTTTATAGTACCAAGGGGTATTGTAAAGAGATAAAAAAAAAAAAAAAAAAAAAGGGGTTATCGACTCTTGAAGTATTTAGGGAATGCTGATAGGTGTGTCGGGAGGATTTTAAGAAGTCAGCTAATTTAATTGGAGAGTTCGTTCCCTTCTTCTAGCCAGGGGGTTAGATCCTCAGGAATTTGAATATGAACTCGAAGATACCAGGGTTTTGATGACGTCACACCGCGGGAAATTAAATCAGCTGTGTTGTCTAAAGTGGAGACTCGTCTCTGCTCTAGCTGACAGTCATTTTGAAATAGGAGTGTGGAGATGTTCTTCCACTCCTCATTTACCCAAAAATCTCTCGATGACTCGTTACGTATGACTCCTTCGGTAGTGGTGTTGTCGGTCAGTACCAAAAAATGCTCTCCTTCCAGCGGTCTTAGTTTCTGTACCACCAATAGTCCTAACCGAATTGCAACGGTTTCTAGCCATGCGATACCTCGTTGCGGCTTACCCTCGGGTAAAGCCCATCCTGGGCGTAATTTGAATTGTGCCCAGCATTTACCAATGATGACTCCTATGCCAAATGACGTTGACGCGTCTCCTACCCACCCAATGTTGTTGACGGGTCGGGTTTTTAGTAGGAGTCTATTTGGAAAGCCTATGAGGGCCTTATTCCAAACGTCTAAGTCTTCTCTTACTTGTGTCGGCATCCTTCTCTTTGCTTCGGGCTTGACCCACTCACATTTCCATCTAAAACCACTCCTCAGGTAACAGCGTAGTTGCGGGGCGACGTAAGACACGTGGCATAGTCGTCCGTACATCTTTTCTACATCTTTAAAGGTAAAAAATTCTTTGTTGAGGAATAATCGCAGTTGTTCTATCCTTTCATTTAGCTTCTTGCTTGGTAAGCATACAGTCTTCTTGTTGACGTTCCATAGGAATCCTATGTACTTCTGCTCGTCGCTGAAGTGGGTAAATTTGGTGTCGTTCGTCTTTACTCCTAAACTTGTACTGTAGGCTACTATATCATTCATGCTGAGCTGTTGTGACTTCCATTTGATGACAAGGTTGTCATCGACCCATCGAAACACTTTTTCTAGGTTGAATTCTAATTCTACCAACTCCTTCCAAGCGTCTGCGGGGCCTCCAAAGCTCCCGCATCCTGCTACTCCCCCGAAGGATATACGTAAATCAATGTACATCTTCTCTTCAAAGTCTTGAATCAGTAAGTAAGGCCATTGGCTAGGATGGGTTCCAATTTGTCGGTACGCCTTTAGCCAGTCGAATAAGGCTATTTGCAAAGGTTCTGATGCGTTTGCGATATGCAGTGCTACTTTCTCAAAATTATCCCATGTGGTCTTGAAGTCTTCCTTGTTCACGAAGGAATTTACGCTTGGGATGAGGGGGTCGTATTTGGGAAAGGATAAGTCGTTTATTGGGCGAAATGAGCCGTCTCCGTTTATTACCGCTCCTAGCGGACTAGATCTGAAGAACTTGTATTGAGTCGCCATTTCTTCTTTTGTATATGGGCCGAACATTCTCCCTGCCAATACTTCTTGTTTTATGTTCTTTTCTATTTCTTCTCTTGCTGATAAAGCCGACTGATGATTGGGTGGACAAAAGAACTGAAGACCTTCTATGTTGTGTTCAGGGATTCCTTGATCGAAGCCATGTCTGAATCCGTCTATTATGAAATCCAGGCGTGGTAATAGATGATGTTTTTTGAGGGCTTCTACCCAAGCTTCTATCTTCATGTCGCACTTTATGCCTATAGGCCATTTTGGCGTCGTGTCTTCTCCTTTTGAAGGGTTTCCGCTTAAAAGTTTCTCTCTCTCTTCGATCTCACTTTGAGCATTCACCGTTTCTTCTTTTCTATTTCTGTTTTTAGAATTCGAATGGAAAAAGAAGTCACTTTCGTCAAATTCTAAACTTCATTTATTAAAGAAAGGATTGTCTTTATTAACGAATGTGATTATGTTAAGGCCGTTGCTATTTGCAGCCCACAAGAAAACCATGTAGGCGCTGGCCAAATTACGCCTACATGGGTGTTTCCCACGAAGAAGCGCCTACATTTATGATGTAGGCGCAGGAAACCATCCAAAATGACGCCTACATGT